GTACACTCTGAGGAATGGAAAAGGGTAGCAGAGGTGGGGTGAGCTGATGTGTGATTAAAGCTGATTACTAATCCTGAGTTATTTCCTGACAGGATGATACCTCCTTAGCTGATTACTAATTCTGAGTTCTTTCATGACAGGATGATACCTCTTTAGAGATCAGGCAGACAAATCACAGTCCAGACAACAACCACCAACCCATACCATTCTATGCACCAAGCACAACCAGAAGTCCTGCCCTTTTTGCCACTACCTCAACATGGCAAGAGCGTGTTTGTGAGCTCCAGGACGAGTGGACATTTGCAGACATATGTGTCATCAATCTAGAGAACCAGTTTTCAAGAGCTTGGATGGGCTCTGAGGCAGTTTTGTGACCTGACCTGTGAGAGAGACTTGTTGAGAACCTATGCATTTCCTGTGTCCTCGATGGTGAGGTAATCAACTGGTACCAGATCAACTAGAGGCATAGATACCTTAGTCAACTACAGTCGAATCACCAGGGACTGAGGGGAGCATTGACCTACGAACTAGGCTAAGTGATCACTTATTCATTATCATGCTCTCTTTCCACAGCTCCTTGAGATTCCTAGGATGAACTCATGTACTCGCCTGACCCAAGATATGGCTGTTTCAATATCTGGGGTGTATTACTGATCCCTAGTTTCAGTCAATGAACATTCTTGAGAATCTTTTCATTAATACATGTATATATATTGTACTTATTACATGCAAACATTTTCATGGCTGACTTGGGTGTCCCTATTTCACCATTCTAACTGTTTAGCTTTGATAATTGTGTGAGCAATAAGTGTTATATGTGTTAACATGGTTAGGATAGTAGACTATCTTAACCTGGGTGCTACCTTTTTATAGTAGTGGGGGTGTCCAGCCAAGTGTGCCTAGAAATATATTTTTTGTAGTGCCAAAACTTGAGTTGCCCTACTCCTGAAATAAGTTGAGCGTATATTGGCCACGGGGCATCCCTTAGACCAATACGAGCCAACGACTCAACATAATTATTTCAGAGTGCTGCTGGTTATTAAGGAGAAATCCTTTATTCAGGCACGGGACAGGAGTGATATGTGACACGCGATCGAAACCCACTGCTGGCTACGTGGATTTTTGTCATGGTATCAGGCGTCGCATGTTGACCCAGCCTATAATGGGTACCAGGATGGGCTGTCCTGGGGAAGTAAAGACAGCCGGCGTTATGCTGACCACATTACCCACCTAGTGCCGACGGTCTGTAAAAATATGGGCACTCTTTCTGTATGCCCAATACAACTATATGCGTGAAAATGGATCTTTACTTATTATATATATATATTACGGATGCACGCTGAAAGCTTGGACAATGTCAAACTCTCATAATGCTTCGTCAGTGACGATTAGCATATTTCAAAGCATGTTCATTCCCATCATATGCTACCAGTGCCAGGCATGGTCACTCACAACAAAACATATTATAAAATTAGTAACCATGGTAATGAGGGGTCTGAAAAAGACTGTAGGCAGAGGCAGCAGAGATAAAATCAGGAGTGAGGTCATACGAGAAAAAGCCAGCACAAAACCAAATCTTAGTTACCTGGTACATACACAGACAGCAAATCAGATGATTTTCCCACTTGGAAAGAAAATGAATTCTGAAGCTATACCATACAAGACATGTACAAAATAGGAGAGGTATTTAGATCAAAAGGTAGACCAAGAAGAAGATTGAAAGACAGCATCAGAGAAACTCTACAGCACAACGATGTGTCTATTGTCGAAACAACCAGAAAAGCACGAATCAGGACCTTATCTGCCTCGACACCCGAAGCAGTTTTTTAAAAAAAAGTAAGTAAAGAAGAAGTGATTGTTAGCACTTCTCGCAGTCCACAGTTTCTTTACAGTTTTTACAGTCATCGTATTTCTCCGAGTATAAGAAGATCATTATCAGTTCTCGTTATGCCTAGTGGCACATGAGGCTTCAGAGAGGACTTTCCATGCTTTCCTGTCCTGTGCACTCTTCAATGCAGTTTTCAATGTCAAAGATGCCACACTCAGGTCACTTTCCATCATTCGTCTTCATGTTGTTTTTGGGCGCCCCTTTTTTCTCTTTGCCTTTGGTTTCCATGTGAGAGCTGTTTTGGCAGGTATATCAGAAGTCATTCTCATAACGTGGCCAATCCATAAGAGCCACGCCTGCAGAATGTAGGTTATCATCTCTTTCAGAGTATATTAAGGTTTCTCCTGTACCTGTTGTGGATTGTCCAAACCCTGTCCACCTGCTTTCACTGATTACAAGAATATGCAGTTTATAGTTCTGCATTTCTTTAATTAATTGGCCGGTTTTGGTCGTTTCAAACATGGTCCTTACATTCCAGAAGCCAATTCTTTTTTTTTTTTTTTTTTGGTTTTGACATCCAGCAGACTTGTTATCCCATCATGGGCTTATTTTTGACTTTCACCCATGTTGTTCACCATGTTGTTCATGACCGCCGGACGTTTAGAGCACTTATTTCTTCTTGAAGTTTCTGTAACGTTGTAGATTTTTTACAGGGCAGAGCTGTCAACACTGCGTCCAACCCCCGAGCCTGGAGGACCGGGAGGCCATCTTTAGTCTGGCTTCTCACCAATGACCTGTCCAGCTTGGGTGACCCTGCCAGGAACATACGTTCTCGCCCGCATAGCTCACTAGATCACTAAGGCTCTCAAGCTCCCTCACCACTACAAGGTAATGGCCTCTGGGGTGAGAGTATAAGAAGATACCATGTATAAAAAGCACGTTGACTTTAGGACCAGAGATATGGGAGAAAAACAAATATAATTAAATAAAATTAATGAACTCATTTTTTAATCTATCATAGAGTCCAGCAAACTCACCATCATTGTCAAAACACTCATCTATACGATAATTCTTTAGCTTTCACTCGACTATGTCAGACATTGAAGCAGTGACTACCATCATTGCAGTGAATACCTAATTCGAGAGATTTGAGTCATAGTATGTTTAATTCAACAGAGATAATTTCATATACATTATTTTTAGGACAGTTATTTTGGGACAGACAATTTATTTAGTAAATACAGTTAATTGTATAGATTAAATATAAATAAATCAGTAGGTACAATTGTCCTGATTAGGTAAGATAATTGTAGATACAATTTTAATGACTGGCGCAGGTGAAAAGATATATGTACTATTAAAATTATTTGTATACACTATTCAGTATACGTACTTTAATAGCCCAGCAGACACAATCTCTTATATTTGTTTCTTAAAACCAGGACAGGTACTTTAATACATAGTTGCTTTAACTAAAGATATTTTCAAGAAAGTTGAATTCAATAGACAATAGACATTTTAAAACATCTAGTTTGCTTTGGAAGGGGGGAGGGGGGGGGGGGGGGGGGGGGGGGAGACATTTGGTTTTTGAAATTCTAAAGATTCTTCTGTAAAAACTAGGGCTCTACCGAATATTCACTTCCTATCCGATACGGGCCCTAATAGTGGACCTAATAACTATTCGGTATTCGGCCGAATAGTTGCGGTCAGGCCGAATACGAATAGTGGTTACCTTACACCCGTTTCTGGACTAGTGGAAAAAAAATCATATGAAGATTTCCCATCTTGGTTAATACTGTCAAGCGTTATCTCTGTGCACCACCTACGAGCGTACCAAGGGAACATCTGTTTAGTACAGATGGAAATACCTTCAGTGTGACAAGACGCTGCTTTGATGCTGACAACATGGAACATTTTTTTTTTTTTTTTTGAAAGCAAATGCCGCTTTCATGGATTAACTAAGCTGTCAGTGACAATTTACAAGATTAGTTACTTGTTTTAAAACTAAGAATACTTTCATTCCTAGTTATTAGTTACCACAGATTGACTGACTGAAGGATGCAAAACATGAAATGTTTTTAAATGTTCACTATTAAGTACTACATTTTGTGAAGTAAAATTTCAGCGTACATTTGACATTATGGATGATTTTTTTTTTTAAAGATCTAATTTATACAGGAAAGTGGAAGAATGGGCCTAAGTTAGAACAGCGGGAATACAAAAGTTTTGGTGGTATCATAGAAAATAATTATTCCTAAATGTGTAATAAAAAGTCAATGGTTTTATTTTAGGACAAGTACAAAGATTTAAGTATCTGGGAACATGGATAACATCAGATGGAAGTTGCATAGCTGAAATAAGAAACAGAATAGGACAGACAAAAGCTGCATTTTATAAAAAGAATAACATCTTATGCAATATATCATTGTCATTGAAGATTAGATAAAGAATTCTTGCCTGCCACATACATCCAGTTTTAACATATGGCTGTTAGTCCTGGACAATCGGTAGGCAGGCCAATTTCTTGAGGCCTCAGAGAACAATGCTTAAAATACCTTGGACTGCCAAAAAAAAAAAAAAAATAGCAACCAAGAGGTTTTGATAGAAGCGGGAGCCCGAAGACAACTACTTAAAGACCTCAGAAGGAGACAGTCATCATTTTTTGGCCATGTTATGAGGGAGAATAGAGCATGTGGCGATCACTGGAAAGATCTGTGGAAGGAGGGATAGAGGAAGACAACGAGAGAAGATTTTTGAAAGTCAAGTTGCATGGCATGGATGAGTGTCAGCACACGAACTGATACATGCTGCAGGAGATCGCAGATTATGGCGAGACATAATCGCCTATGCCAGTCGGCAAAGCACCTGATGATGATGATTCACTATTCGTATTCGTATTCGTATTCAGCCGAATAGTTGGTCCAGCTATTCGTATTCGGCCGAATAGTGAAAATCGCTATTCGGTACAGCCCTAGTAAAAACCACATCTCCGAGGGCACCACATATTGTTCGGATCGTTTATTAATTGTCCAGGATTCACAGCCACAGGGTCTCTTTAAATCTTTACAACTACAGAATCTTGGCCTATAAAAAAAAACACGATTACTCCAAATTAACAGAATATCATTAAAATGCCCAACAAAAAGAGCGAATATATAAAGATGTGCCCGGTCTAGACGTCTATCTCCGTTTTCTTCACAAAGATACTTCTAGGAACCCTAACCAGGTAGACTAAGTACAGTACCCAGCCACTGAACACGAAACCATACGACAGGATCACCAGCAGCCCGAACTGGGTTATCTTGGGCAGAATAATGACCAGCACAAACTTGATCAAGTCTAGGAACTGGTTCAAGGATTGCTGTACGCCGTTGACCACTCCTCTCTCGCTCTCAATGACTGTCTCCAGAAACATCTGGGTGATTGCCAGGTCCGCTATCCATAGCCCTATCGATGAACAGAAGCAGGTTTAGTCACATCGACGCCGCTGGTCAACTTTCACTTTCAACTACCTTATAGAACACTACACACACACACACACACATACACACAACACACTCACACAAACACACTCACACACACCACACGCACGCACGCACACACACACACACACACACACATCACACATACCCACAAAGAAGCAAATAAAGTAAAAAGGGTGACCCACAGATTGATAACGAGGATGGTCTGAGAATGACTATGTCATCCCATGGTAAACTAGGTAAACAATATTGCAGTGGCTAGATTTCACCTGGTGGGATGAAATTGATTATTTTGGATATAAGTAGCGACGGCAACAAAGACGAAAAGGGAGAAGCAGACGAAGAAGGAGAAAGAGGACAGGTAACATGGATAGAAGAAGAAGCAGATGATGGAGATAGAGAAGAGGACGAACCTGGAGAGGATGAGGAAATTAAAAAAGAAATTTAAAGTATGTTAACTGGAGTAGGCGCATTCGTTTGCAGCAAAGCTAACCCAGTGTTTAACAGGCATGTCATCACAGGACAAGTAAAAGGAATTTAGTGATGACACTATTTTGTTTAGAATTATAGGATTGATAAATGAGATGTGTTTAGCGTCCTTTCGGCTCTGTGGCTAAGTCGATGCGAACGCTTCGTAATGCCGGGATGCTGGGTTCGATCCCAGCTGCGGGCCATGCGCCCTGCGTTGGTTTCGACAGTGGTATCGCGAGAGCCGACCGTTTAAAAAGCACTGTCAAACTACTGGACGTAAATACCTAGAAAAACCACACAACAGCAAGGGGCTGTCGGGGTTGGTTCTGCAACGTCCTGTAGAAGGATATGCAACTAACCTTAGCGTCCCACTGTCAGGTCGTTAACAGCAGCAGTAACGCCAACTTACTCAAGAGTTATCTTTATGGCTACAATCATCTGTTCAATTATTTTCAGTCGCAATGGCTAAACATTCTTGTTTTTGAGGTTCACGTTGATAAAGACTTTGGTGAACACTCCGACTCTATGTTCAGATTTTCCTTACTTTGTCACATTTTGTGTTAATATAGTTCTTGGTTTAAGTTTGCTGCTTTCATTTCTATCTTAGACTAATTTTAAAGATGTCGGTGGCATGTGATTGTGATTGTTGGCCGAAACCAAACCAACACACAGATACACAGCACTTGCAGGTTAGCAATCATAGCATATCTGACATAGAAGCTACATTGTCCATAGGACATTATGTTGATAACATAGCATATCTGACGTAGTAGCTACATTGTCCACAGGACACTATGTTCATAACATAGCATCTCTGCACACTTGCGACTGTTGAATTATTAGCATCTATGTTCAACAGACATCGATGAAATAGGAACATCTCTTGGTAGTAGACTGCTATAGAGCGGTAAAGTCTATGTCCCAGACTCATTTATGCAATATTAAAGTTTTTTTTTTTTTCGTAATTTAAGGCCTTCCAGCCGCCTACTATCGAGCAGTCTTAAGAAATAACTTTCGAGTACTTTTCTGTCCCTTACATGAGAATACACTCCGTCACTAACATGAGAATAAACTCTGTCATTGACAGGAGAATACACTCCGTCATTGACATGAGAATACACTCCGTCATTGACATGAGAATACACTCTGTCACTAACATGAGAATACACTCTGTCACTAACATGAGAATACACTCCGTCACTAACATTAGAATACACTCTGTGACTGACATTAGAATACACTCTGTCACTGACATTAGAATACACTAACATGAGAATACACTCTGTCACTACATGAGAATACACTCTGTCACTAACATGAGAATACACTCTGTCACTAACATGAGAATACACTCTGTCACTAACATGAGAATACACTCTGTCACTAACATGAGAATACACTCTGTCACTAACATGAGAATACACTCTGTCACTAACATGAGAATACACTCTGTCACTAACATTAGAAATACACTCTGTCACTAACATTAGAATACACTCTGTCACTAACATTAGAATACACTCTGTCACTAACATTAGAATACACTCTGTCACTAACATTAGAATACACTCTGTCACTAATATTTAGAATACACTCTGTTAACAGAGAATACACTCTGTCACATTAGAATACACTCTGTCATTAGAATACACTCTGTCACTAATATTAGAATACACTCTGTCACTAACATTAGAATACACTCTGTCACTAACATTAGAATACACTCTGTCACTAACATGAGAATACACTCTGTCACTAATTTAGAATACACTCTGTCACTATACACTCTGTCACTAAGAATACACTCTGTCACTAACATGAGAATACACTCTGTCACTAACATTAGAATACACTCTGTCACTAATATTAGAATACACTCTGTCACTAATATTAGAAT